TTAGCCAATTTAATCTGCTTTTCTTCTTTAAATGGTTCAAAAATAGAATCGATTAGGTTTTAAATCTGGTTTACCGGTTTTCTATGTTGACTGACCGATAACTATAGGTAATACTCAATACATATATACGTTGGAAAAATTATATTTTAACATGGACAATTTTTTAAAAGGTAATACTACTTTTTTTTTTTTTAATAGAGTCAACAATATAAATGGAACATGATTTGTTTAAAAAATTTAAGTGGAGTCAACGGTAATTGATGAATGAGTAAATTTCTTAAAATTGATATGACTTATTTCAATAATTTAGTAGGGTCAATTGGGTTTATGAAATAACCCGAATTTTTATTTTTAAAGATTTTTCATTTAAATTTAATAAACTGACAGCGTGGAAAATGTATTTAATTATTTAAATGCAAATTTTTTTTGTTTTTAATAGGAGTCAACAAATATAATGGGACTGATTTGTTTAAAACATTTAAGTGGGAGGTCCAACGTAATTGATGAAAATGAGTTAAATTCTTTTAAAAAATTGATATGACTTATCTTCCAATAATTTAGGTAGGGGTCAATGGGTGCTTATTGAACATAACCCGAATTTTTATCTTATTACAAGATTTTTCAATTGTTAAAAATTTAATAAACTGACAGCGTGGAAAAATGTTACTTTAATTATTTAAATGCAATTAAAATAAAATTTCGACACTTGATTAAACCGAAACTGAACAATCAGTTAAAAATTCGAAAATGCAAATGCAAAAACCAAAAGATTCGAACCGAAATCGGAACTGAACTCGCCAAATTCATTCTAGGGGAAACCAATTTCTTTCTTTATTCTTCTGGCGAAAACTCATTCTCAACTCACTCAAGTCCAGCAACCTTTCTGACAACCACGGCCAGCGCCACCAGACCGCCACCAGCCAGCCTTCGTCCTCCTCCTATCTTCTTCTTTCTCCCTTTCTTCTTCTTTTCTTCTTTTTCTTTCTTGTTCTTCCTTGCGGCTTGTGACTCACTAGCTGGGCAGAAAAAGGCGGGGATTCGTGCCGTCCCACCAGCTCAGAGCGGAAGCTCGTCGCGCGCCGCACCACTTTCCTCTGCGCTCCCTACGTCGCATTGCACGCAGCAGCGGCCCGCTCCACCCTCTTTGCACAGAACGCGGCTCGCGCAGCGGCACAAGGCAGGCCCAACGCGAGCACGAATCGTCCAGCTCGTCAGGGCCGCCACCAGCCTTCTTGCAGGCAACGCCACCAGCTGCCCGTGCCCAACTGCCGTTCACCGCGTTCGGCGCGCCTCCAACAGGTCCAGATCTAGTCGGCCGGGCCGCCGCTTCTCTGCCCACTTTTGCCAGGTTTCAGATCGCGCCAACCCACCTTACAGTCCCAGTCGTGTAAGCTATCCGATCCGGACCGCGTAAAAAATCCCCGATCTAGCAAGAAAAAATTCTTATTTAGGTGGGTTTATAAAATCAATGTGTTGCTAAATTCTCAGAATTTATTTTTAGTAAGTTTTTGGTATTTAATTTAAAACTTAGTAAATTTTAGTTAATTAAATAATTTTAGGCAATATTGATTAGTAATTTGAATTTGAGCAATTGTGATTAATTAAAGTTTTCATTCTAGGTATTACATAAAGTTTATTAGGATTTTGATGAACAATAAAAAAAACTTATGGGAATTAAAAGAAAAAAAAAAAAAAAATTATGGAAAATTAATGGTTGAGTATAAAATATGGAGGATGGATTCAATTTTGACTGCTTGATGCCCGCATGGATGGGCTGTGAGAACTTGATTAGTTGACTGATTGAGTATTAAATTGGTGGGGAATCAGTTGAATTTTAGGGGAACATGCTGCTGAAATTTCAGTAGAAAATAAAATTCTATAATAACAATTAAAATGTACTTAGAGAGATTAAAAATTGTTTATAGAAATTAAAAATATTAGAATATAGATTATCAGATTGATTTAAATGAAATAGGAAAACCCAATAATATTTTATAAAAATATGATTATGATATAGTTTAAAAATTAATTAAAGTGAAATTTAATGACTGGTAACCAAAAATTAGTTTAAATTGGGGAATATTTGAAAGATAGAAATTTGTTCAGAATTTTAAATCTTTACTTAGTTATGTTTATTGTGTATGTTAAGGGTTTATTAAAACTCTGTAATGCAAGGACAAAGGCTCGAAGCAATGTTGACTAGAAAGAGGCAGTTCCCTAATAATATTATTTTAAGATTCGAAAATTTTGGGGCGTTACACCCTTTAGAGGGCAATAAAGAATTGTTAGTAGTGTTAGATAATTCGCATCATCCGCTTGCATTCATGCATTCACGGCTAAATGTTATCATGCATTATGGCCATATTGTGATGCATTATTTGCTAATATTAAATATTGTTTGATTACCTGTGATGTGATATTGCTATGCCTTGTTTGTGTGGAATTGGGATGAAGTGGGTTACCATGGGTTTGTGAGATTGTTACCGTTATATGGATCCTGATTATGATTAGTCGGGTAAATGGGAGATCGGCGCCCCCATGTGCACCTACCATTACCATTACCGTTAACCGTAGAGTAGCCTCTTTGGGCGCACCTGATGATCTAGATTTGATCGTTACTCGCAGGGTGGCCTCCTGTTGTTGACGCATAATTTTATGCCCCGCCTAACCCGGTGATGATATGAGGACAAGGGATAAAGTTTCACGGTTAACCAGGAATGTTTGAACCAAAAAAAAAGAAAAAACCAATGACGAGGGGGGGTTCAAAGGTGAGGATTAGGACCGGTCGGCCAGAATGGGGGAATCGGTCCCTGGTGCCACACGGTGAGAGTAGGGGGGCATGTGGGGAGGAGGGGCTCATCGGGGATTCTGGATGGACTCACAACTGGGACCTAATATCCCACGTGATTGTGATTATATTGAAGGTGATAATAATGTGATGGCTAGTTGTATTTGCCCATTTGGTTGACAAACTTGCTGATCATAAAAATTAATCGGTTGGACCATACAAAAAGATTTTTAGCATCTGTGTGATGTGTGGGTTGAAGGATGGTTATCTAACCCGTACTCATTTTGAGTTTGGCGCTCACCCCTGCCTACCTATTTTTTTCAGAGGGTAATAAAGGAGAACGAGAAAAATCATTATTGGAGTTGAGACATTATTATAGAGGGACTGTTTAATGATAGACATGACGATTGTAAATGTAAAAAAGTAGGAGTTTCGCCAATTGTATTTCCGTTGGGTTGTAAATGAATAGTAAAAGTCCATATTAAAATATTATGGGAAACTGGTTATGAATACATGATTGAAAATAAATTAATTGGGGCCTGCATCACACAGTTGAATGGGAAATGAAGTTGCATAAATATAAGGCTTACTACGGGGCTTCGGGGCCTTAAGGCCCACCCAGGTCCTAGTTGCGGTCGGTCCATTAGAAATGGGTCCGTAAGGTTTATCAATGAAGTTTGCATAATATAGGCTTACTACGGGCTTCGGGGGCCTTAAGCCCACCCAGGTCCTAGTGCCGGTCCGGTCCATAGAAATGGGTCGTGACAGTTTATCAGTAAAAACAGCAATTAATTAATATGAGTTGGACATCCACCATTGATTAAAGAAAAAACGTCTTCACTGATCATTATTGATGGTTCTGATGATGTCATGTCCCATTTTAAGTGGCTTGATTACCCTAACCACTATGTATTGGTTAGTACAATTTCATCCCCTCCCCTTTCCATAATTTCAAGAAAACACTTTTATTATAAAATAAAATAAATAAATCTCAAAAAACAAATATCTCCCAAGTTGATTTGGTTGTCTCCTCCTTATCTTTCCTTTTATCAATAGAAAACAACATCTTCAAAAGGAATATAATACGAGTATTAATTAATAAATATTATCTATTATGTCATTATAAGCAATTGGCCGGCTGAATTTGAACCAAACCAAAATTTGACGAATCAAAACTGATCCGAAATGGATAGCTTAAAAAATTTGAAGTAGAACCGGTTTGGTTTCAATCACTTTCAGTCCGTTCCGGTATTACATTTATTTTTTTGTTAAAAAAAAAAATTACTAAGTGATTTTGGAGTTAAGCGAATATTTTTTTTTTAAATAATGTGAATTATAAAAATGCCCATAATATTTATCACTTAAACATAATGGCAAAGTAATAAATTTCTCAATTTTCGAAGTCATGGGCTATGCTCGTCTATTTAGAGGTAAGCGTTCGGTTTAACTGAACTGAACCAAGGTGAAAAACACAAATCAAACTTTTCAAATCTGAAATTGAATTGAACTGAAGTTGTGTTTGAACCGAATCGAACCAAAGATAGTGTTTGAACCGAATCAACTCGATCTAAACTAGTCTATTTTGATCGGGTTTTTATCATATTGATTCGATTTTAAGTTTAAAGGATTAATTTCTGTGAAACCAAGCTGAATCAACAGTAAATCGGTTCAAATAGACTAATTCCAATAATACCGGACTTATCTTGAACATATTGATTAAATCAAAATGAAATGGATTCGGTTCGGTTGGTGGTTTTGCACACCATTGCGTCTATTTATTTGCTTAATAATTGTCTGAAGAGCCAAAAAAATTCTTTTATTTTACAGATACTGAATCGCTAGTTTAACATCTGATTTTAGGCTAGTTTCAGTTAGTTTTTTACAAGCAACTTGAACCTTAACTGTCCAGTGAATCACCAATTTCAGTTCACATTTTTGAACGGACCATTTGGAGCTGGTCTTGGTTCGTCAAAATCAGGTTATGTTCAGATTTGTTTCGGAAAAATGGAAATTTGGTTTTTAAACTGTATTATTTATTTAATATTGTTTCTACCTATAATGAATTTAGACATGTTTAGGGATAATTATTTTTCATAATTTAATGCAATTGGGTCTAGAGTGAGAAAATTGTCGCTAAATACATGTATTTAATCCTTCCCAAACGTTACGCAATTATTGTTTATGGCATAATGAAATGAATACAAAATTAAAATATATAATGAAAAATAATTTCCTTTATTATTATTATTTTTTGGATTAAAGGGAGCTTTCAAGAAGAGCCACAAGAGTCGATAGAAGGAGAATAAAGAGGATGGACAGGCCATGAGAGAAAGCATGAGAAGCCAGCTACTCTGCACATTGATTAGCTTCCCTATAGACATGAAAAGCCTGGACAACCCAACTCCCTTAAAGCATCATTTTAATAGCTCTAACAATAGAGGGACCTGTAACCGTTAGCAGGCTGGCTGTCCGAACTTAACCAATCAACAACCTGTTTATTATCACATTCAAGAATCAGGCCATGAATATTAAAACTTTTGGCAAGTCTAAGCCCTTCCCAAACAGCCATTAATTCCGCTCAAATGACGGAACAAGAACCCCAACAAGCTGCATACCTAGAAAACCATTGCCCAGCGCTGTCACGTAAAATACCACCACCAGTCACAATCTTGGGGCTACCTCGAACAACACCAACTATATCCAACCACTAGGCAGGAACTCTTAACTAATCCAGAATTCCTTTCTTGGCGGACAGGCGTGAGCTCCAGTATGTAAATCAGTCGCGTGACTAACCTCACGGACAAAAGAGATTTGCAAAAACAAAACTAGAAACAGATATCCCTTGTCCAAGAAAGATAAACTGATTCTTCCGGAGCCACAACTTCCAATAAAAAATACTGACGAAATCTCTCTGCATTAGTGAGAAGCCTCGCATGAATCGCTAGCCATAAGAACAATCTAACCCGTTGCGGGCCTTTCCAATGCCAGATGATCTTCCAATTTCACACAGCCGCCGAATCATCAACAGAGGCAAGCATATTATACGCAGACTTAACTGAAAATAAACCAGAAGGAGAATAAGACCAATGAACAGAATCCATCTCCCTAACATCCAACAAAGGAGAAATGGAAGCAATAATCATTAAAATGGAGGGAGGGAGCAAGTGAGCAAACTTAGCCCAATCCGGCCTTGGTCCAATGCAGATGTCTTCCAAATGTTCAAACACAGGCCGCGAACATCATCAAACAGAGGGGCAGCATTATTATACGAGCAGAGCTTAACTGACAAATTTAAACCAGAGCGAGCGGAATTTACAGACCCAATGAAACACAGATCAATTTTCTTCCTAAACATCCAACAAAGGAGAAAAAATGGGAAAGCAATCATTCATTAAAAAAATGAGAGGGAGGGAGGCAAAGTGAGGTCAAACTTAGCCAAATCCCAAAGGGCAATTAATTGCCGGAGAAAAACTCCCCGCAACAGAAAACCAGAAGGAGAATAAGACCAATGAACAGAATCCATCTCCCTAACATCCAACAAAGGAGAAATGGAAGCAATAATCATTAAAATGGAGGGAGGGAGCAAGTGAGCAAACTTAGCCCAATCCCAAGCATAATTGGCCGTGACAAACTCCCGCAAACAGAGAGACCTTTGATCAGATGGAATCTCCCCAATAGCCTTATCACAAAGCGGACCCACACCTGAAACCCAAGGGTCAAGCCAAAATCGAATAGAAATACCATTACCAATACTCCATTCATTCCCTCGTAATAAAAAAGACCAAACAGCTTCAAGATTGCGCCAAAGAATCGAGCTATGAGAACCAGCAAGCATAGTGGGAATCTCAGTGGAGAACCATTTATATTTATGGCGAAGAACCCTCACCCAGAAAGCAGACGAATTATGGATCAAACCCCATTCAAGCTTTAACAAAAAAGCAATATTAAAGAGATGGAGACTTCGAAAACCAAGGCCACCAACAGACTAAGGAGACGCCACTGTCCTCCACGTAACAAGTGGTATCTTAAGGGCACCACGTGCTAAACCCCAGATAAAAGAATGAGAGGCTTTCTCAGTCTCACTGGAAATAGCTTTAGGCAAAAGGACAGTTTGCATAGCATAACTAGGGATAGCTGAGATGACCGAGTTAGCCAAAATAACATACCCGGCAAGAGAGAGAGACGTCATCGACCAACTATTTAATTTGGCAGTGACTCTATCTAAGATGAATTTATAGGTCTTCTTAGAAGCTCTGGAGTGGAGAACAGGCATTCCCAGATACTTCCCAAAGTCTCTGATTTCCTGAAAACTCAAAGAGAAGAAACTTGTCGCGGTTGAGAAACATGAGTATTCTTAGAGAAGTAAATACGGGTCTTCTGAGCATTAACCCTTTGGCCCGAAGATGCACAGAAATTATCAAGGACCTGCTTTAAAACAGTAGCTTGAGCAATAGAAACATCAGCAAACAAGATCAAGTAATCAGCAAAAAATAAATGGGATAACTGGGGACCTCCTCGACAAAGAGAAATTGGTTTCCAATTACCCCATTGCACCTCCACATTAATACTCTGGGATAAATTTTCCATACACAAAACAACGAGGTATGGAGATACCATAATTTTGTTCCTTAACGTTTGCTACCGTATCAGGAAGTTGACCTTCACCCTCAATCTCCAATGCAGTAAATCTCGATCCATTGACTGCAGTAAAAGATTCTCTCCGTATTGGCCCACGTCTCCCCGTTGAGAAGCCACCATCCAAGGGCCAAATGCTCATCCACTGGCGGCTCTACCACAGGAGCTTTCGCAGGGGGAGGAACAACTTCATCTTGATTTACAAAAGAACGATGAGGATAAAGTGAATCTGCATGTCCTATATGTTCACAGCAGTAACAAATATCAGAGAGATTTTCGTATTCAACATAGTGCACTTTCCCTTCAATTTTCACTTTAGAAACCAATGGATCCTTTATGTTGACCTCCATAACAATCCTTGCAAACTTGCCTCGAAGCCGTCCTCTGTATTATAATCAATTTTAACAACCCGTCCCAACACTTTGCATATGCCACGCAAAACATATTTATTGTATAAATGTAATGGTAAACCAGGCAAGCGAAGCCACACTATGGCTGAGGTTATCTCTGTTGAAGGACATCGAAACTTCTGGACCAAGGAATAACCTAAAGACAGCTGCCCATCATTCTCCAAGTGCCTTCCAAAAGCGCTATTTGACACTCATGCTCATGTTTAAAATGAACTAAAAAATACTCATTACCCAAATCCAAAATCTTAGCATCAAATGCGTTCCAGAGAGTCTGTACCTTTACACAGAGAGCTTTGTAAATTTTTCGCTAGCTTACCTAAAAAAGAAAATGGGAGGAAGATTTATCCCCTGTTTGGTAATAAATGAATTCCTAAAAATTTTATGGGATTTATTTAGAAATTCATATTTTTGTGTCTGAAATGAAAAAAAAAAGTGTAGATTTCAATTCTAGTAATTCGATTTCATGGAATTAGACATGCTATACCAAATCTTACAAAAATAGGTGGAATTTTCAAATGAATTCCACGAACTAAGTAATCTAACTTTTACGACAAAATTACTCTTCTCTATCTACAAAGTTAATTTTTTACTTTTTTTTAATTATTTAAATTATTTATTTTATCAAATTTGACCGAAATCTTTTAAAAATTAAATTCTTTTAGAAATTTATTATTTTGTTTTTATTTTAATATTTTTCATCTTTTATTTTAATATTTTTGAGAGAGATTCAAGTTAAATATCCATTTATCATTAAATTAACTGCAACAATTTTATTAATATTTTTTTTATTTTATATATTTATTTTAATAACAAAATTAAATTCTTTTAGAAATTTATTATTTTGTTTTTATTTTATATTTTATTCATCTTTTTATATTTATTATTTTTGAGAGAGACTTCGAAGTTAAATATCATCTTAGCATTTTAAATTAACTCTGCAACCAATTTCTTTAATAATATTTTTTTATTTTAACTATTTATTTTAAGAAAAAATATAAAAAATTTATATTAGCGCATAACATAAATGATTAATGTACTTTATGTTTATTATTTGCTTGGAAAAAATTACTGTTTCAGAAATATAAAAAAATTATATAGCATAACATAAATATAATTGATATTTATTGTTTATTTTCTGAAATTACTGTTTCAGGGATATTTTAGAAAATAAAAGTAAATGAATTTTCAATTATAAATTTATTTCATACGTGATTATATGAAATTTAATTGAATTACATATTTTAAATTAATTTTACTAAATATAAATAATTTATTCAAAAAAAATTCTACTAAAATTCATTTATAAACTAATTTTATATTTTGAATTCATTTACTGCAGCAACTTCTAACCGTGGAGATTTGAATCTCTCAAATAATAATTCTGGAGATTTGAATCTCTCAAATAATAATTCTTGATTTTGAAATAATTTTCGAAGAAAACGACAAAGTTATACTTGTGTACTACCTGTAGTTTAGTTGAGTTATAAAGTTCACTTTCCAACTAATTCAACAGCGACCTTTCATCAATATAAAGGGCCGGGAAGCTCTAATGTATGGATGCACACATCATTCTCACTGTGTCATCACAAAATCCCCACATAAGAATATTTATTTCTATTTTCTTTTTCATTTAAAAAGGGAATCACATTTATGGATTTCACCACTTAGTTTGTTTTTTCCTTTTTTTTTTAAAAAAATATATATAAAATCACAAATCAATTTTTATATATTACACTAAATTGATGTTCCTGGTTCAGACAAGAATATGTTACCCATATCAGATTAAAATATTTATAATATAAAAAATAATTTCTTAGCCTATTAGAATCTAACTCTAATTAATAAAATAAGGGATTAAAAGATCCGGCGTATGATATGAAACAATTAATAAAAATTAATTTTTTATTAAAATGAAAGTGTTTTTAACTATTTAATGGAAAAAAAAATATAATATTTAAAAAATAGTATTTTGATTCGCTTGCTCTATGACTTGGACCCACAGAATGGGTCTAAACAAATATAATCCAAAAAAAAGGACAAAATAAAGAATAATGCTATTTTCTTTTTCAAAAATATAATCCACTCATAATAATAACAAATACTAGAAGTACTCTACTAATTGATTTTTACAAATTAAATACTAGAAGTACTCTAACTAAATTAGATTTTACAAAAATTGATTTTTAATAAATTTAAAAATTGTATGAGAAGGGAGTTTACAGGAAATAGATTGGAATTTATTAAATGTGAAGTGATCAACGGTCTAAGAACTCACGTGTGGGAACAAGCATGGAAATTCTACAAAACTTTCTTATGGAATCTCATTTTTTGGGAAATCCACAAAATTGTTTGTGTTTGGGGAATAAGAAAAAAAAAAAAATATTTAATATCATGAATGAAATTCTATGGGAAAGGGGATATGCCTAAATCAAACATTTCACTAAAAAATTAATTGAAACTTGTAAATGAAATTCTACAAAAATTTGATCATTTGAAATGCTTTATTGACTTAAATTGCACTCCATTTATTAAAACTCACACTATTTTACTTTTTTTTCTTTTTATTTATTTTCTTTGGGAAAAATTTCCTTTTACATTATAACCCAATATTAATTTTTTTTTTCCTTTTTATTTATTTTCTTTGGAAAATTTCCATACTATAACAATATTATTTTTTTTAATCCAATAATAACGTTAGCCTCCATTCAGTTCGGTTCCGATTCTAGATTTCTGAAACCACAAACCGGCGGTTCTACAAAACCGGTCAGAACCGGATTGAAACCGCTGGTTCTCCGACCAGTTAGAACCGCCGGTTCAAACCGATTTGAACCGGCGGTTCTAGCCATTGCAGTTTTGTGTTTTTTTTTTAAAAATTTTTTTTTTAAAACTTTGGATCATCATACCAATCTAGTCAAAGAAACTTCCTGGAAGGCTCATCATCCCCCACCCACCTCACAAATGATGTCATCTTATAACATATCTCTTCTTAGAATGGATATTATATAATATTTTTATCCTAAAATAATTTAAAATTTTATTTTGGACCTAATGAATTTAAAAAAAAAAAAAAAAAAAAAAAAAACAAGGTTTGAGGGGTCAAAAATTCAATTCTACCTGTTAACTTTTCTTTTTAAATAATAATTAAAAAAAAAAAACAAAAAAGGAAACAGTTAAATAAAGAAAACAAACACTGTATTGTATTATTGGGAGTAGCTACAGCAAATACAAAACTTACAAACCACTCCTCATTACCTCCTTCCTTCCATTCTTTATGTCTGCTGTACAAATTAAAAACTCTATACGCTTGTCTTAACCCTCTCATCTTCCTCTCTTTTCCACTATCTACATGATTCCTTAAGTTCTTGTGTCGAAGAAGAGCTCTGATTCTTGCAAGGAATGGAGCAGGAGCCCACAACTTCAAGCAGGTTATATATTGTAATTAGGTATTGTCATATACCACCACTTTTCTTTGAAACCAACACTTTAAGCTTTGAATAAGCCTCCTTTTTTTTTAATTCTTATGTTTCAAACTTTTTTCTAAACAAAAAAAAGTTAACATTCGTTGGAAGGAATTTTTTTTTAAAAATCAAAATTAAAGTTCAAGAATTCTTTAAAAAAAATAAAATTTAATTCGAAGTTATTTTTTTTTAATTTTTTAGGTTGTTCATTTTTTTATAACAAATAACTTTCGACAACATTTCATTTAAAAAATTTTGAAAAACGGTCTTGCAAAAACAAATTTAAGTTGAAAAATGTAATGCGATGTCTGTCTTTGAAAGAATCCGGCTTCAGAAACGGAGCGAAGCCGTCGGTTATTTGTCACCATACCAGGAGATCGGAGAACCGGAACCGGTTATCGGTTCCAAATCTTAAAACCGAACCGAAAATTTTTCGCGATTCGGTTCCGGGTATCCAGTTTATTGGAACAGAACACAGTGGCCACCTACCTAAAAAGTTTACCTTCCGACTAATCTGGATTTTTACCAAATTTGATTTTTTTAATAAATTTTAAAATTTTTATTAAGGTGGCCACCCTTAACTAAAAGTACTCTACTAATTGATTTTTACAAATTGATTTTTTAATAAATTTAAAATTTATAGAAGAGTTTATAGGAATAGATTTGAATTTATTGAATGTGTGAATGAACTCGTTTTGAGAAAATGAATTCCAAAAAATTTTGTGGAATTCGTTTGGAAATCCAAAATGTTGTGTTTGGAATAAGAAAAAATACATATTTAAATTTTACGAATTGAATTCTGTGGAATTAGGTATGCCTAAATCCAATTTTACTAAAATTAATGAAATTTGTAAATGAATTCTATAAAATTGACCATTGAAATATTTATTGACAAAATTATCCTCCATTATAAATTCAACTATTTTTACTTTTTTTCCTTTTTATTTATTTTCATCGGAAAATTCCATGCTATAACAAAGTTATTTTTTTTAATCCAATAACGACGTTAGTTTATATTTTTATTTTTTTTCCTTTTTATTTTTTGTTTGGAAAATTCCAAACTATAACAGCGTTATTTTTTTTATTCGATAATGACGTTAGTTTATATTGTTATTTTTTTCCTTTTTGTTATTTTTTTTTTTGGAAAATTCCAAACCAGTAATGACTTTTTTTTTTTTAAGTTTGGTAATAACATTAGTTATTATTACTACGAAACTATAAAAACTAAGCATCAACAATTGTTTTCAAATGCAGTTAAAAACAATAGTAACATTCTTAATATTTTTTTTAGTTTCCAAATTAATTACTTTTTTCCCAAATTAATTACTTAAATCAAACAAAATTTTTACATTCAATTAAAAAAATAAATTATATGATGAATGTTAGGGCTTATAAAATAAAGCACATTAATTATCATGGAAATTATAAGTGTACATATATTATATTGAATTTATGTATTTTATATTTTAATAAAAAATGGACAAAGTTATTAATAGTGTGCACTAATAAGAATATAAACTTGGTACTTGTTATTTATTTTTAATTAATTATCTATGTCATTAATGTACAAGGGTGTTATAAAAATAAAACAGACAAATGGACATTTCATTTAAGGACATTATTCCAACAGATCATAATTTTAATGGAGATTTGCTTATTTTAAAATTATCTGCCTACCAAACATTGGAACAGAATTTATTTGCAAAATGAATATCTACTGGGAAATTCTTATTTACTAATAGCATTCTACCAAATTTTCATGATTCATTTTTGATTTCCCACATAACGTGGAAAAAAAAAAGTAAAAATAGTTAAGAGAATCAACAACCGTAACCCCTAAACTAAAAATTACGAGTTAGAATAACCGGAGGGAAAAAGCGA